TCTTATAGTCTTTGAGCATTAGGCGCTGAAGGGGACGGACAGACGGACGGACGGACAGACGGACAGACAGACATGGCTCAATCGACTCGGCTATTGATGCTGATCAAGAATATATATACTTTATGGGGTCGGAAACGATTCCTTCTGGACGTTACACACATCCACTTTTACCACAAATCTAATATACCCCAATACTCATTTTGAGTATCGGGTATAAAAATTATACTCTTCCAAGTAATCTCTTCCATTGTCTATACTTATTGAATTTTTGGTTCTCGTACTATATTTATCATGTCAGAAAGCGATCGGCAAATAAAGCCGAAAAGAAATTTGTTGATTATTTACATACAAAATATTTGATACGTAATTATACGTAAGCGCAGTCGCAGTCGATGACTGCAGTAAGGCTTTTCTCCGTTTTTTTTTCATCACTGTTTGCAATTTTTTAAAATTTGGTTATTGCGGGGAGGCGGAATCTCTTCACGAACTCTCGCCATTTTGCTGCTACTTTTCATGAGAATTGGAAAAATCATTGAAACAAAGAAAGGATCTGCCACCACTAATGGTAATAATTGCACTCCGGCTATCATCTTTTCACGAAATGATCAGAATTATAGAACTAATTGTCTACATCCATGTTTAGCTAAACTTTTGTTTTCTCCGGTTTTTTCTTACTGACTCATATTAAAACCAAATTTAATCTATCAAAAGTCAATAAGTAAAACGATTACCTGGGAAAAGATTATAAATAAATGAGCTTGTGACTACTTAGAATTTAGACGGATTGCGCCTTATCGGTGATGTTCGACTGAATTAAGCATTTTGGCTGATATACTCGACTCGAGGGCTGACACACTGATAATGTTATCGCCAGATTTCCCTCAAAGCTTCCTATAAAATCACAGTCAAAAGGTGCAATGCCTTCAATCGAAAAAGTATTAGCATGGTGAACGTTTTAAGCAGTCTACTTGTCTGCGGACTGGTACTTGTCAGTGCCGCACAACTGAAAGACGGAGATGTCCTGCAAGATTACCAGCGTTTAAAAAGGCTCCGCCCGCTGGGAGTTGAGTTTGCCGAACACTTCCGTAATGCATCGCTCCCGGACTTGGATCTATTCCAGTCCCGAATACCCAGTCAGGAGGATCTGTTGTGTCTCGCGGACATGGCGCAGTTCATGCAGGCGCTCACTGCTGGAAAATTATGGGCCCTGAGGAGTAAGCAAATAATGAAAATTATATTCAAGTGAATGAGAACTGAAGTTGACGAATTTTGTGAGCAGTGATCGATGCTTGGGGCTCCATTCCCTCTGGAGTGCTGTCCGGCAATGCCTTCCATCTGGGTAACTTCGATGAGTGTGTCAAGATCAGCGAGGAGATCACCAGTAGTCACAGCATACATGGAAAGTACTGTTTTCTTATTGTACCCGCCGCATCCATTTCGCTCAAGATCGCATCTTGCTTTCCGGCTTCCTGCTCTGCGGCACATATGGATACGTTTCTGGAGCAGTTAATGCAGAATTTGTTGAACTCAAGCAGCACAAATATAAAATTCAGCGAGGCCAGCTGTCAGACAAGTGAATCGAAACCTTGGGATGGAATGACCATTTTCACAGTGTAAGGTAGACCGTATCATAATCAAATTCTGTGACTCACTCTATAGATTGCAGTGTGCTTCTTGGCTTGATGGGTACTATAGTGGGTCTATGCACGCTCTACGACTACTTTCTGTGCCAGGATCAGAGTGAGTACCGGAGAGAACAGAATGATGTACAAAATGGTTTACCTCGTATTTTGCCTTCCAGGTAATATCCCTGTGACTGTGAAGATTTTCTCGGCACGGGCCAGTTCTCGTGCCATTTTCCGCATTGTCGACAGCAAATCGAATCCGAACGTGATCAGTTGTCTTGATGGCATCCGCTGCATGTCACTGTTCTGGGTTATTTTTGCCCATGAATACATATATTCGCTAATTTCTCCAAATATAAATACCTTCAATATGATTTCGGTTAGTGGCCTCATGCTTGTATGTGCGAAAACCATTCAGATCTTTAATTTCGTCTGTTTTTTTGTTTGCTAGTGGGTCGCGGAACCCTTTTCCAGCTTTATTCTCCACGGATTTTTTTCGGTTGATTCCTTTTTCTTTATTGGTGGCCTACTAGTGGCTACGGTTGCTCTTCGCTCAATGGATAAGTAAGTGTTTGAGATATTTTGTATCCATCGGGAATTATTGCCAATTTTCTGACAGATCCAAAGGAAAACTGAACGTGCCGCTTATGTATCTTCATCGTATTATACGGATCGTGCCGATACTTGCAATAGCAATCCTAGTTTACATAAAGCTGACGCCCATTGTTTCTGGGGGACCTTATTTTAAAGGTGGATTCCATGGTACAGCCGCCTGTGAAAAGGGCTGGTTCTGGACGCTGCTGTTCGTGCAGAATTATGCTACAAGAAATATTGTAAGTCATAGATCTTCTCTTATTAACATTTGTACGATAATCGTTTTCAGTGCCTGGATCACACATGGTACTTGGCAGTGGATATGCAGCTTTATATAATCTCTCCGCTTCTGCTGATTGCTCTGTATAAATGGGGCAAAAAGGCAGCAGCTGGCATCGCGGTTCTTGTGCTCCTACTATCGTCCTGCCTTTTTGCCACGATGATGGTCAACAAATACTCATTGCTCTTCAAGTAGGTCCACGATCATTCTGTTTGTCGTTGGAGTTCTTCAACCCCATTTAATTGCAGGAATGGAACGGAAGGAGATGCCGGTAGAAAACTGTATTCTGCCACACATACTCATTCGGCACCTTGGCTAATTGGATTTCTGTTCGGATACTTTCTCCACCTAAATCGGGGGAAGAAGTTCCAGCTAGGCCGGATTGCCGTATGGTCAGGATGGGTTCTTAGTCTGGCCATGATTTTCACCTCGATGTTTGCCCTGTACCCTGCGACCCAATGGAGTGCTCCACCCCTATCCACCCTCAAGGAGTCTCTGTACTACACGCTTACCCGAGTGGGCTGGCCCCTAGCCCTGTGTTGGATCGTCTTTGCCTGCATGCAGGGCCATGGCGGTCTGGCCAACAGTTTCCTATCCTCGCCATTGTGGCAGCCTCTCTCGAGACTCTCCTATTCCGTGTACATCTGGCACCTTTTCGTACAGGAAGTCAACAGTAGAAGCGTTCGTACTAATACTTATTTCTCGGACTACAATTTGGTAGGTTTTGTTTCTAGTTGTTGATGGTTGCTCATTTTTAACTAACCTCATTTGATTTTCAGATGCTGAAATTTTGGTCTGACTTTGGGATCACTATTTTGATGTCGTATCTGCTTTACATTGTCATTGAGGCTCCTTTCGGCGGACTTGATAATCTTCTACGATCCCGGGAGAAAAGTGTTTTGAAGCCCCAAGCTCCAAGCGAACAAAAGCAGTCCTCAGTTGATGTCCAGCAGGACCAGTTGAATGACGGAAGGAATCTGGTTGAGTCCGACGTGCCTAAGGAAGAAGCAACAGAGACTACTCCAGAATAGTTATAGATGTAAATATCAATATGGGTTTTTTTTTCGCACTTATGTAGACGTTTTGTAGATTACAAAACCACATAAAAAAGATGTGAGCTTCCGACTACCCAAACACTATACTGATAAGAGTAATTATCAATGATGTTCGGCTGTATCAAGTATTTCGCGGTGCTAGTCTGAGTACCTCAGACTACTCAAGATTACCTTACTCAACACAATTGTTTTTATAATCGGCTGGTGGTTCTAGATAGATAGTACTTATCGTCCGATTGCCTTCAAAGTTTTCGTATAAAATCCCTGGCAGATGGCGAAACGTCATCAATCGAATTAGCATTAGCATAGGAAGCGTTGTGCGTCCTCTGTTGGTCTGCGGACTGGTAGTCATCAGTGCAGCACAACTAAAAAAAGGGGCGCTGGGTGTCGAGTTTGCAGAACACTACCCTAATACATCTCTTACGGACTTGGGTATATTCCACTCCCGAATACCCCTGCTGTATAGTCCCATCTTCCATCTTGGTTAAGGCTTTTGTTACAACAACCTTTATTTTACGATCAGGCTATTGACCAGATATCAGTCTTTGAAGAGCTTCTAAATAGCAGTGCACTGATTATTGCATTATCTATATATTGCCTTAGCGCTACGTGGCTCTTACGCCTTCCAATACAATATGAAATAATATAATCTATTGCCTACTGATTCACGCCGATGAAAATGAAACCGGCATTAGCTTAAGAGCCCACGAAATCGCATATCAAGGAAAAATAGAAGCCTGCAAGCCAAACAGCACCGAACCGCAGCGCTTTTAAACTTAGGCAAGTAGACATGTGAGTCCAGAAATTTCTCAGAATTGTAAGGTCTTACTTTACACAAATGAATAATTCGACGAAGTTATTATTATATAATAATAATAGTAATAATAATATTATAATAAGTTTTGTTTTGTATATTTCTAAAATTTATATTTAAATTTTCATAAAATATAAACTAATCTTGAACTGTTGGAAGATTTTTCTGTCAAATGGCTTTCATGAAGATATTTTTATTTCTTCAGAAGCTATAAATTTAGTAAGCTGAAATGGCCGAATGTCCCACTGTGCGTCGTCCCGTCTGAGGCTTACTCAGTACTTGAGGGAATAGTATTTGTGATGTTCATGTGCAAAGACAGGATTTGGCATATAGAAATGATAAGGTATAAAATATAAATCAAAGTCAACCATTTTATTGGTTTAATAATAATAAATAAATAAAATAACGATTAGCTAAATATGATAAGATGGCACAACACAATAGGGTTTCGTCTACCAAGAATATTAGCTGATACAATATTAGTTGTTCGTAAGTTTAATTTCATGATTCCAATCACAAGGCTGTGACAAGGCTTTTCGTAATCGACTACGCGACCTATGCTTATCGATTTGGGTTTATTTTTTTAATAAATTTCCTGGTAATTTGTCTAGCACCCTCAATCGAATTTGTGCTACCATGGTGAACGTATTAGCCGTATTTGTCTGCGGACTGGTACTTGTCAGTGCCGCACAACTGAAAGACGGAGATGTCCTGCAAGACTATCAGCGGCTGACGGGGCTCCGCTCACTGGGAGTCGAGTTTGCCGAACACTTTCGAAATGCATCGCTCACGGACTTGGATCTATTCCAGTCCCGAATACCCAGTCAGGACGATCTGTTGTGTATCGCGGACATGACGGAGTTCATGCTGGCGCTCACTTCTGGAAAATTATGGGCCCTGAGGAGTAAGTAAATAATGAAAATTATATTCAAGTGAGTGCGAACTAAACTGGATGAATTTTGTGAGCAGTGATCGATGCTTGGGGCTCCATTCCGTCGGGACTGCTGTATGGCAACATCGTCCATCTTGGAAATTTCGATGAGTGCATCAAGATCAGCAACGAGATCACCAGTAGTCACAGCATAAATGGAAAGTACTGTTTCCTCAAGCTATCCATTGGTTCTCTGCCTCAAAATGTTGCGTTACTAACCAACTCATTGAAGATCGCATCATGCTTTCCGGCTTCGTGCTCTGCGGCAATCATGGATTTGTTTCTAGAACAATTAGTGCAGAAACTGTTTAACTCGGGCAGCTTAAGTATGAACATTAACGAAGCTTCTTGCCAGACAAGTGAATCGAAACCTTTGGATGGAATGACCATTTTCACAGTGTAAGTTAGACCGTATCATAATCAAATTCTGTGACTCACTCTATAGATTGCAGTGTACTTCTTGGCTTGATGGGTACTATCGTGGCTCTATGCACGCTCTACGACTACTTTCTGTGCCATGATCAGAGTGAGTAACGGAGAGAACGGAATGATGTACAAAATGATTTAACTCGTATTTTGCCTTCCAGGTAGTGTCCCTGCGATTGTGAAGATTTTCTCGGCACGGTCAAGTTCCCGTGCCATCTTCCGCATTGTCGACAGCAAATCGAATCCGAACGTGATCAGTTGTCTTGATGGAATCCGCTGCATGTCCCTGTTCTGGGTTGTTTTTGGCCATGAATACATTTTTTCGCTACTTTCTCCGAATATAAATACTCTCAATATGCTTTCGGTTAGTGGCCTCATTCCTGTTTATGCAAAAACAATTCAGATCGTAAATTTTCCTTTTTTAATTTTTTTAGTGGGTCGAGCAACCATTTTCCAGCCTTATTATGCACGGTGTTTTCTCTGTGGACTCCTTTTTCTTCGTTGGCGGCCTGCTAGTGGCGGTGATCGCGCTACGCTCCATGGAGAAGTAAGAATCTGGAAACCGTATATTTCATTGATCTTTGCGCATTCCTTACTTTGTGGCAGATCCAATGGTAGTCTGAATGCTCCGTTGATGTATCTCCATCGGCTCATACGCATCGTTCCCGTGCTGGCAGTGGCTATTCTAGTCTATATGAAGTTCATGCCCGTGGTATCAGGCGGGCCGCTCTTCGCCGGTGGATACACTGGTAGTGCCGCATGTGAGAGCGGGTGGTTTTGGACACTGCTCTTCGTGCAGAACTATGCCACATCGAATATTGTAACTAAAGCACACAAAATTATTCCCCGCCGACAATTTTGACCAACTCTGGATAACCCTTTCAGTGCCTGGCCCATTCCTGGTACTTGGCAGTGGATATGCAACTATACCTAATCTCTCCGCTTCTGCTGATTGCTCTGTACAAGTGGGGCAAGAAGGCAGCCGCTGGCATTGTGGTGCTTGTGCTCCTGGTTTCGTCTTGCCTCTTTGCCACGATGATGATCAAGAAATACTCGCTGGTTCTGACGTAAGTTCATTGATAGATTCTTACTCGTCTTTCATAAACATTTTCTGTTTTTAAGGAATCTTTCCGCTGATACTAGTGCTAATAAAAAGCTATACTTCGCCACGCACCGGCACGCCGCTCCTTGGCTGATTGGATTTCTCTTCGGATATTTTCTCCACCTAAATCGGGGGAAGAAGTTCCAGCTAGGCCGGATTGCCGTATGGTCAGGATGGGTTCTTAGTCTGGCCATGCTCTTCACCTCGATGTTTGCCCTGTACCCTGCGACCCAATGGAGTGCTCCACCCCTTTCTACCCTCAAGGAGGCTCTGTACTACACGCTTACTCGGGTGGGCTGGCCCCTAGCCCTGTGTTGGATCGTCTTTGCCTGCATGCAGGGCCATGGCGGTCTGGCCAACAGTTTCCTATCCTCGCCACTGTGGCAGCCTCTCTCGAGACTCTCCTATTCCGTGTACATCTGGCACATGTTCATGCTGGAAGTAAACAGCAAAAACACAAGGACCAGCACGTACTTCTCCGACTACACTGTGGTAGGTTTAATTTGTTAACGATCAACTCTTCTGGCTTAACATCAACCTTTATCAATTTTTGCAGATGCTTAAGTTTTGGTCCGATTTCGGATTCACGGTTTTGATGGCGTATGTATTTTATCTTATCATTGAGGCACCTTTTGGTGGACTCGACAGTCTTCTACGACCCAAAGTGAAGTCAAAAGCGGAACCTCCTGCTTCCCAGCTTCCCAGCTTAGAGACGAGAAAAACAGAGGACCCTAAAAAGACGAATACACAAAGTGAAAGCTCTGCCGATGATTAGATTATATTATTCTTAGATTGAAAGGTCATTTTTGTTTTCTTTATTTACTTAATGAGGAAATTCTGGAAAAATCTCCTATACCTCTGATCGTCGAACCTTCTCAGGGGTTCCGCCTTTGGAGCAGACCACGGACTGGTCTGGACTGTGCGCCTCTGACTGAGTAAGACATTTATCTACGTACTCCTGCATTTCAGTTTGATGCTCCACCTCCTTGAGGAGCTCTGAGCTCTGCCTTCGCCTTCCCACAGTCTTTGGTTGCATGTTTTGTGTAGGTTTAAGCCTGAAAACAAATGGAGACTGAAAACTTCTTGACTCGAGTCGACTTCGCTTAGCCCAATGCCATAAAATATCGTACAAGTACAAGTACATTCTGCACAGCGAGTGTGCACCAACTATTTGCAGTGAGTGTCTGGTGTCTGCTACGGCTGCTACGGTGGCGGGGCCGACAAACCGATCTGAATCCGGATCCAAACTCGAACTCCCCACTGCGCATATTTTATGGCAGTTACGCGGCTCCCAGGCAACTTAATTAGTGCCTGCTGGTGCGCTTCGACTCCGGCGCTGGCTCTACGTCTGCCTCTGGCTTTGACTTCCATTTCCACTTCGATTACGACTGCAACTGCTGGTGGGACAGGGACAGGGACATGGGCAGGTACAGCCCTGGCCCTGTCCCCAGCCCCGGCTCCGGCTCCGATTCTGGCTTCGGCTACGTCTCCGGCTGCAGCTGCATTGCACCTGACATTTAACATTATTACGCGGCACCCCCAGCGAATACGAAATGAATGCTCGTCCGTGGCAGCCATTACAGGCAGCGCCTTAAAGCTCTCTGCGCCACTCGCATTTAAGCGGCGTTAAGCTTAATGTGCACCACATTGACGCCATGCCACATGGTGCAGGTGGCTGGCTGCCTGGTACTGGTTACTGGTTGCTTGGTGACAGGGGACAGGGGGCTGGCGGCAGAGACGGTTGCGTGTTCCATTGCATTTGGTTGCATTTAATGGGTTATTGGGCACACATTTGTGCGGGAGGGTGAGGGTGAGGTGTGGTGTGAGGGTGGGGCCACTTACAACTCGTTGAGCGCCTACAATTGAAAATCGATCCACGCAGCCCGAAGACCACTCTGAATAGGAGCACGAGTACGAGTACCCATTGTAATCGCATATTCTGATTCTCTGTCCAAGGAGAAAGCTGCTGCTGATGTTGCTGCTGCTATAAGCTACTGTAATAAGCCATGACAATTGCTTGGAAAGCGATCCAAGGGTAGTTCCTTTGACGTGGCTTCCAATTAGCAAGAGTCAACTGCTCGTGTAAACATATCTCGATTTAACTTTGCAATTCTGCGGCTGCTGCTGTTGCTGCTGCTGCTTCCCCTGCTGCCCCCCAGAAGAAGTACAAAGAACTTTTGTGCACATTTCTGTTTATTATTGTATAAATCAAAAGATAAAGTTGCACACAAAGTTCCTGCTGCCAGACCCGGGGGCTGTCTGGTTTCGACTGCGGGTTTGGGGCTGGATCCTGGATCCTGGATCCGTGTCCTCTGTGCATGTGGAGGCGCAGTACGTAAACTAAACGAAATGCACACAAACTCTCATGTATAGCTGTAGTCGTGCATGTTTGTGGCATTATAAAATATATCTGGGCAACAGTATCCCCAGCCCACTCTCTCTTTTGTACTTTTGTAGTACTCTGTCCAATTTCAAAGTTGGTAATGGTAAAATGGCGATCCTGCTACCTCTGTGCCCCAGCTGCTGCTGCTGTTGTTGCTGTTTTTGTTGTTGCCACATTTAAATGCCAAACTTCACCGGACATGCTTCATAGCTCTAATTATACATGCGCCTTTCCAGGAACGCCTTCCGCCATGAGGGAGACGAGAAAAAAAAGCGGAAGAAAAACAACAATGGGCCAGCTCGAAAGGCAAAAGCTATAGCCGAAGCAATGGCAATGGCAAGGGCTCTTCTTGGTTCCTATTTTGGTTCTTGCGGTTGTTGTGTCCCAATAGCATGACTACATTGTTATACCCTTGCAAAGGGTGCTACGTTTCGGAATAGTTTTTAAGAAAGAAGGGCAGAAAACAAACAGAGCCGCCAATATCGAATAACTATACAACTTAAGCTAAAGGCAAAATTGTGCAGCTAATCATATGACTGTCATAGAAATTATTGATTTGAAAGGGTGTGTAAACAATCCACTCTCATGGCTTGACTTTTCTCTTGGTTTTGTGGCTTCGGTTGTTGTTTGGTCCTTTGGCCCTCTGCCAAGCAACGCGTCGTATGCGCAACGTGGCCTGCAATTTTTCTAACCACATCAAAACACACACAAACATGAGTGATTGTTTGTAGGTGTGTATGTGAGCATGTGAGCGTATCTGTGAGTGGGGAGACTTCTTCGTGTGCTCCACCCTTGAGTCGAACCTCCGGCAATTCGAGCAGAAAACTTTGCATGTCTGCTTAGCAATTCATGGCTGGACTGCAGGGAGCTGAAGAGGGAAGCTTGTGGGTCCGTCACTCTTTTGATTTGATTAGGCCCCACAAACAAATACACACCAACACACATTCTGCGGCTAGAATAAATTTATGTAAATTCTGAAAGCATAAAATATGGCATTAAAATTTAATGTGCAACTCTAGGCACGCAAAAAAGAACACACAACGAAGCAAAAAATTGGGCAAAACGGGAGAAGGCCAATGAAGACATTATGCTTGGGCCGAAAAATTGTTGGCTCCTTGGTGTTTGCAAAATAACAGGCTGCCTAATAAGTCGCTGACCAGTGGCCAGCCCCCACTGACGGCCAAATGAATACCTTTTGCAATATGAAAACTTGGGCTTATCAAACGCTGTTCATCTCGGCGACAGTGGACGCTGATTAACGGATGCACATTAGCATATTTTCCTCTGAGAGGGCGGTTTTTCTCTTCTTTTATAAATCACTTCATTGACATTTTTTATGAGGCGTCGAATGAAGGCAGAGGGCGGGGAGTAGAGGGAAAAAACTTTTCGAAAATAAAACACGGCTGGGAGTCTGAGAGAGAAAAGTGTCTGAGCCTCGAGGCGGCATTGGAGGGACCACCACGACTCCCAGGGCCAAAGATTGACGCGCCGCTTACGTGCTACGGAACCATTTGTCTTAGAGCCGCACTTTGCGTGTCTTAATTAGCGCCCCCCACAGCCGGTTGCCCCATGTAGCAAACCTCAAGAAACTTTCCCGACGCCCAAGTCGAGGCAGGAATTTATGTAGCCCAGATAAGAATTCCCCGATAAGACCATAGATCCACCATTGGCCTGTCTGTGCCTTGAAGTGTTGCACGAAAAGTATTGGCCAAGGGACGACATGCTAATGAACTCAGCCTTTAAGAAAGTAGAAAGTAGACTACAAAGAAAAGTTTTTCTTCATTGTGTTTGAGCCAACTTAACGATTCGTTTGATGGGATAGAGTGCGAGTCCGATTTGGGAAAATCTGTGCCTGGCTTAAACGGAAAAAGCTGGAAAGTAGAACAAATCTTTTGCAGCTTTTCCATTCCCATAACTCTTCTGGCTTACAGTCTATTGTTTTGCCTTGAGATTCCCATTTATTGCTTAGGTCATTGCCATCAAGTGCATCAACCTTGAGTTTCTTCTTTATGACAGTAGTTAATGTCCCCATCCCAATCGTCCAGCTTGCGGCTTCTGTGTCTCGGCCTAATCAGGTGCCCTCACCTTCATTAGGTTCGCTCTCAGTGGCGGCTGGGCAGCTTCTAGCTGATAATTCTGTTGCAAATGCTTTGGGGCAAGCTAATTAGGGCCTCGCACACGGCTTCAATCCGCCCAGCCATACGCAGCGCAGGCGAGTCGCCTGTACATGCAAATCGTCTAAATCAGAGAGTTTAGTGGACATGTCGTGCCCCGCCATAAGCTGCCATATTTAGTTAAGTAATCAGGAGTAGTTGGGGGCGTAAAATGTTTGGCTCCCAAATGGGGAATGGCAAAACAAAAGAGGTTCCTGGTCAGGGAATGGCGCTGGCTCTTGTGTTTTGTCGATGACATTGTTCACTTCGTAATTCCATTGCCTAGTCGAGTTAGGGGGTGTTTGTGGGAGCAGTCGGTTGTCCTTGTTTTTGTATGTATAGTATTATGTCGACAGGACACCCTGCAGCAGCGCCCTACCAGAAGCAGCAGGAGGAGCCAGAGACTCCGCTGTCCTGTGCCGTGTCGTGCCATTGTGGTTGGCATGTGGTGCTCGCTAAATGCTAATTGCCGCATACTTGTTACCACTTTATGTGAATGCCTTTGTGCTGGTTACAGCAACAGGGTGCCTTGCCACACAGGGTGCTCAGCTAATTGGAACTCTGTCCCGCCCACAGCATATGCCCAAGGAAGCGCACCAGCATCTGGCATGACAGCTAAGGCCAGATAAGGCAGAGGCAGAGGAGCAGGCCGAAAAACTATTACCACATTTCGCGGCCATCAATCAAAGGCTTAATATCCGCGAGGCGTGCTGTCAGTGGCAGAGTTACTCCCTGTACTCCGCCGCCAGCCAAATGGACATGTCCGAGTTTCCAGCACAAAGTGCATCATTTGACCGCTAATTTAGGCCGTAAATACACACGCTACTGCAGCACTGGTCGATGGTCCTGACTGTGTCCTGTCTCTGGTACGAGTATTCATAACGTAACAAGCCGGTTTTGCATGCAAATGCCACCAGTGGGAGTGTCATTTCGGGCACAGCAAGATCATCATGCCAGGACGACACATGCACAGCGAGGAGGCCACGACACACATCCTGCCATGCAGAGGAGTCCTGGTAGCAGTCCTGCCTGAATCTGAGGCCAACTTGATTGCGAACAATTTCGAAGCAGCTGGCATCGGCATCGACATTGGCATCCGGGTGAAATATCATTACGGAGCCACAGGCACGGCGGCTTCATTGAAATCCTCTTCCATTTCGGACATTTCTCATTTTAGCATTTATCGTTTTTCGTTTTTCGTTCTCGTACCTAGGGGGAGGGATCCTAATTGACGAACATCGACTAAATGCGTTTTT